GATCACAAAACATCTGCACCCAAATATGTGGAAGAATCTGACATTCAGTTTGCGATTTTTGAGGCCCTCATATGGAGTTTTGTTAAGACGCTTGTAAATGATGCTTCGGTTTTGAACAAAGCACGCAGTTGCCGCTGCTTCGGCCAAGAAGTATAGAGGAAGATTTGCAAAGTTTAACATGGACCTGGATGCTTCGACCAGAGTACGATTTCTTCTCTCTACTACTCCATTTTTTATGGTGTGTAGGGAGCTGAAAAGTTGTGACTGATGCCTTTGGAAACCAAAAAACTATTCAAGAGATGATTAGTGAATTCGGTTCCATTGTCACTTCTGATTCTTCGGACTGGTAACTTGAATTGGAGCTCAATTTCTTTGATAAAGTTAATCAGAGTCTGCAGTGTTTCAGATTTGAGCCTTAAGAAGAAGACCCATCTGAAATGAGTGAAGTCATCAACTATAACCAATATATATTTTTTGTGATAGAGACTGGCTATGGTAGATGGACCGCGAAGATCAATATGAAGTAGCTCTAATGGTTCAGAAATTGAAGAATCAATAACCAGTGGATGGCTTCCCTTCGTTTTCTTTCTACACTTACAAGCTGGGCAAAGTGTATCATTGTTGTACGAACGAGTTCTTCAGTGACCATGTTGTTGATATACCAGAAGTTTAGATGAGCTAGCTTGCGGTGCCATAACCAACTAACTTTGGATACTATTTTAGACAGAAAGAACAGTTGCGGTTTGCCAATGATCAATGAAATATCCAAAGGATACATTGTCCCTTTGGACTTGGATTTGATCAAGCAGGTGCTTCTATCACTTGTCATGATGTAGCAGTATTCATTATCAAATTTAACCAGATGACCAGCTTTGCATAGTTGTCCCACACTGATGAGATTATGCTTGAGGCCTTCCACGTAAGCAACCTTTTGAATTAAGAAATTTCCTGTTGTTAACACACTGTAACCTCTGATGATTCCATTTGCATTGTTGCCAAATGTGACGTGTCCACCGTTACAGTTAGGCCTGAAGTCTCGTAGGTATTCTAACCTTCCGGTCATGTGCAAGGAGCAGGCACTATCAATTAACCACCCCTCTTCTTGTTCCTCCTTGCACACTGCCTGCGGAATTAAATGATTAGTTTGGGCACCCAAATAAGTTTGGACCCCGGGGTTACATGTGAAATTTTCTGTCTAGGTGCATGCTCGTGAGTTGTAGTAACAGGTTTTGTGTCAATTTTTAGACCTGGTCCCAGTTTTGAGACTTTTGGAGTGTTACGAGGTTGGACTAAACGTGACTCTTTCAGATGATAAAATCCAAAGGAAATATTTTTCTCATTCATCCAGACACCGTACTTGGTCAACAGTCCGGAGGGTGTAGTGAGAGTCTTGTGACTGGTCCGTGGGAGGGTTTTGACTGTGGTGCCTTTGGAATTTGAAAATTTTTGGGCACGTGTATTACTCCTAGGTTTAGTCCTTTTGACAGACTGATGTGACTTAAAAGAAGAAGGAGTTGGTAAAATCCCTTTTCCATTTTGGATCGCCCAAGGAATATTTTTGAAAATAATACGTTTGAAAAGACTTGACTTTCTTTTGGGATTTTACAGGAGTGTTTGAAAGGATTTTTGTTACTAAACAATCCATTTTGTCTGATTCCTTGACTGTATTGTTTTTTGAAAGATTTTTTTGCAGTAGTGGGTTTTTCAAAATTCTATTGATTTGAACTTTTGGCTTGTTTGAAAGTTTTGTTTTTGAAATAAGTATCCCGCTTTTTACCTCGGGACTTGAGTTCCTCTTTGAAAGCCAATTTTTCTTGAGTTTTTGGAGAACCGCAGTCAGAAATGTTCAAATGCGGTTTCCTAGAAACCTTTGATTGTTTTAGAAAACGAGGACTTAAGTCATCTGAACTAGACAATTCTTGACTTTGTGAACATTGACCATATTCGAAATTTTCAATTGGTAATTCATGAAAAATGGGTTGGATCGTCACTGTGCTTTTGACTGTGGTCTGCGACAAGGATGACTGGACTACTGCAGAGTAAGTCAAGGGTGGTTTATTATTGGGACACTTTATGGAGGACAAAGGTGAATAGTTGACTAATAAGTCTGGTCCTTCCATAACAATTTCTTCATCTACATCTGAAGATGACTGAGTATTGGGACAATCTGTGTTAATGACGGGTAATTGATTAGAGGTTTTAGGAAGAATTTCCTCAATAACACAATTGTTACTCAATTCGTGAAGTCTACCGCAGTGACATCTAATGTCTTCGGGAAATGTCTTGTCATTGACAGGGTAATGAAATTCACGATCCAGAGGGACATATGGACGTTCAGCATTGAACCGGGGAGTGCAGTTCTCTGCGGTAGAGAACCCACTGGATCATCCCCAATTATAGGTGTTATCTACAAATTCATTATTGACTAAGTTTTCAATTACTTCAGTTTCATTAAAAAGCTTTTCTATTAATTGATTCAAACATACATTTTCTCTCTGGGCTAAGTCCCTTTGATTTAAAAAAATATCTAACTGAGTTTCAAAAAACAATTTAGCATCTTTTTCTAACAATAGATCCTTTTCTAGCATAGCAACCTTAAGTCTCGTATCCTCAAGTCTTCCTCTCAAGTGATACAGCTCTTGGGTTGCTATATTCTTTTCATCTAATGCTTTGTTGTAGTCTGAAAGGACGGTAGCGCATGTGTCATTAAGTTTTTCTAAATATGGTTCACAATCATGCATGTTGAAATTATTAGAGTGGATGATGATTTTTACCTGTTCGATGATGCTGAGGGTGCCATCTTTGGCCATGTAGAAGAAGTTTCTTTCCAGCTTTATTGATCCGTCTTCATCCGCAGTTGTGATCATTCATAATTTTCCTTTCATCTTGTTGTCAGCTTCTTCATCTTCATCTCTGGATGACCATACTTGATGATCTCGCTTTACTTGGGCAACATACGCCCTTCCCTTTTATTTTTCCACCATTTCATGGTCCATTCTTAGGTAGAATTCCTTGTCCTTGACTACGTTTGCCTTACAGTCTTTGGCAAAGTGATTCTCCTTGTTGCATATGTGACAAATGATGACTTCAGTCTTTTCTTCGGCTAAGGTACCAGAGTCTGATGGTTTGTTGGACTACGGTACTTCTTTTGTGTGGTGTGCATTTTGTGGTTGCGGTGGATGGTGAGGATTTCGGGGATATCTTGTGTGGTTGTTTTGAGGATTGAAGTTCTGATTGAGCGGTGGTTTAGTAAACTGCAGATTCTTCCGAAATGAAGATGGTGGTAGCCTGTTGAATTGTTGGCTAACCAAGGCAATGGCATTTTGGAATTCCTCTTCATCATCATATTCCACATCTGCCTCATATGATTGCGGTAAGTTGTCATATGAAAGTGGGTAGGATGATTCAGCAGGATAAGTATTGTGGGGTTTTGGTTTGTAGGGCTTGAGCTATTAGGGCAAGTGGACCACTGAGATCAACATAGTCTTTTAGCACTGTTGATTCTTGTGCCTGGAGTTCTCCATACAACTTGAACAATGACAAAGTATGAATCTTTCTATCACCTTGCACAATCATCTTTACAGTAGACCAATGTCTTTCCAAACCATTGTTAAATTGAAGGTTTGTTTCATGGTTACTTCGGACTGTACCAGCATTTGACAATTTAGTGATGATGGGATTGAAACGTTTGAATGAATCATCAAGGCTTTCTCCGGGAAGAGCTTTGAAGTTGTTAAACTCCTTTAGGGCAGTGGTGAGTTTCTTATCTTGTGCCTGTTCTGACCCTTGATAGAGATTCTTCAGCACATCCCAGATTTCTTTTGCCGATTTGCAGTTGATGATAATGTCGAAGTTGTTAGGAGCAACATCGCAGGAAATTTCGTAGAAAGCGATGGCATTATTTTCCATTTTGTCTAGATCATCTTTGGTTGGTCGATTCATTGCTCCTTGACCACCACCTAGTCGAACTTGAGCACAGTCAGCTTGAATCGGAGTAAGAATAGGGACATGAGGTCCTTCTTCCATGGATCTCCATACATCTCTTCCAAGTCTATTCAGATACCTCTCCATCCTTTGTGACCAGTGATAATATTCATTTGCCACAAGTATTAGAGCTCTATCCGAACCTCCAGCACTGTTGGAAACATTTAGTGATAAAGCTTGTTCCATATTTCCTATGTTTTTTGTCTGTTTTTTTTTTTTTTTGAGAAAGATGAGCTTCAGTGGTATAGAAGGATTTTCAAAGTCAGAGTTTTGTTTAAAAAGCAACAAGTTTGGCTCAGATACCAATTGTTGAGAGAAAAACTTTTGAGAAACACTCGAACAAACGTTAGTACAAGATAAGGTTGCGGAATAAGTTAATCTTAAAGGATCATAAAAGCTCAACAATAATAAGAAGTTAGATTTGTTAGATAGTTAGTTGCGGAAATGTAAAGTGCGAAAAGTAAAGGAAATATAAATTACAACAAGTTATATATCAATTAAACACTAAACTGATTCTTAACAAGGTTTGCATTCAAACACAAGTTAGTATATGAGATCAGTTAAAGTGAAAGGAGTCTCGAAGACTAGATTAGATAAGAACACGATCTTAATATTTGGAGTGAAAGTTCAAAAAGATCTTTTAGATAGATAATCGGAAGGTAAGAGATAGAAGATAATAGATGTAGATATATGTATTCAGAGGTGTTCAAAAGGTGTAAGTTACATGAATATGAAGACTCTATTTATAGAGTCTTAAAAAGTTACATTGGAAATAAACAAGTATTAAACTTCTGACTTAACGTGACCATGCAAGGTTCACTGGATAAAGTAATGCATATAAGACAAGTCAGATGATGTAACTGAAATCTTCATTGCGGATAGGTAGTTGCGGATGACATCTTCAGACTGCGGTTGCGGTAGCAAAAGCGATTGCGGTAGAAAGAGCAGATTGTGGTAGGAGAAGTGGCTACGAATCATCATGTTTAAGAGGGTCACTTTATGTTTCAACAACAATCATGCATCATCATCAGGAGATAGTCAACAGTGCTCTGGGGGCAAACAGACATTACATGATTACACTTCTCATCGTGCATACCGTAGACATGTACCAGACGAGTCTGCTCCTAGTCGTAGAGAAGCTGGAGCTCCATCACATGAGTCCACTCCTATTAGTTGAGGAGGCTCCGGATCTACAATACATGAGTCGCCTCCTATTTGTCATGGAGGCACTAGACTTGAGCTACATGATTCTCCTCCTACTAGTCATGGAGGTGGTAGACCTATATTTAATGGAGGTCGCGTACCTATATCACATGACTTCATTCGTACTATTCCCATACATAGTACAGTGGCATCGTCGGCTGATGTTGATATTAGGAGGTTAGTCGTTGGGGATCACGTAGATCCTATTCATGTAGATCCAGTGGGTGGTTATCTTGGGTTATTACAACAGATGAACCAAGATGGGGGACTTTACAATGATGGGGATATCAATGAGGGGGATGGTCACGCTACGCCACACGGTTCGAATAGCACAGACGTACACATACCTGCTTATGGTACCTCTCAGATGACATTTATCACTTGAATTGGGAAAAATTATGTCTTAGATAGTTTAAGGTTTACAATTAAATTTATGCTGAATTTTTATGTTATATTTATACTTACCGGACTATTCAATATTGTAGGTTTGGGAGATCTTATGTGGTGCAGGCAATTAGGAGGCTGATAGATCAATATATAGATGGTCCTTGGATAAGTTTCGAAGAAATACCCAAAGAAGTGATCGAACAAATTTGGGTGAAATTCAAGGTATTATATTAAGTTGAGTATTTTCAATTTAAACATGGATTAATTATTTGTATATCTTGTCATCATTCATTTTAAATTTACATTTTTAACTTATGGTCTTTTTATTTTTATAGACACTTTTTGATAGGATCAAAGACAGGATGAGAAAATCAAGACAAACTATAAGTTTGTCATTCAGGAGCGACACAGAGACATCATGAATACATATAGGGAAAGATCAACAAAGATGGCCATAACTACCAAACATGATATCTCAATGGAAGGGATTGACTTTGATATCATGCTGGATTTTATACCTCGCGGGATGCAATCTCAGAGGTGGGAGGATTTGTGCACGGTAAGTGGGTTAATACATTTTTGTTATTGTTTATTTCTTTTTATATTATTATACCTATACTACTCTTTAAAGGAATGGAACACGGATGTGTGGCTAAAAAGATCTATGAGCGGGAAGAGTAATCGCAATACCACCAATAGTGGTGGGAACATATCGAGACATACTATGGGCAGTATTAGTTATGATGAGCACCGAATTAGACTAGTAAGTATTCATATTCATATAAATTTTAGTAATATCTTTTTCCTTTAACAGAATTTACATCATGTATACTTGTAGACAACAAATTTGGAACGACCACCCACATTTTTGGAGTTGTTCTTGTTTACTCGTCTAGATAAAGCTTCAAAGAAGAAGTATTTTGCTGGAGATGTTGAGGGAAAGAAGTTTTGTACCGAGAGAGCAAGGGAACCATATGTATGATATCTTTACCACTTTTAACTTTTTTTGTCCTACATTTTAGTATAATAACAATTGTGTTTTATTTTCTTGTAGGAGGCATACTCTCGACCCTTTCTTGAGAAGTATGGGGATGATTTGCGTGATCACCCGATCGATGATGCTGAACTGTGGGCAAAAACCCAAAGGGAGATAAGTGGTGCATCGAGGAGCAGTTATATCTATGGGATTGGATCCTTGGGTATAGACTTTTTGTTCAATGGGAAATCATCTAGTGCTGCGGGTGTTTGTCATCCTCTTGTGATTCTCAACAAGAGGTATATTTACTTAATAAATAGATTCTCTTTATTATAGATAAACAAAGTACATTACTATAATGAAACACTTTGTGACCCATGAAAACAGTCACTAATATATTTATTTAAAAACAGCCATAAAACTTACATGAAGTGTGTCACGAAAACAGTCCCTAATAAGCCAATAAATTTACACAAAGTATTATGCTGTAATTATGAATTATAAATGAAGTATGTTGCTATTATGAATGAAAACAACTGTAACAGCCCAATTTTCAGAAAATTTTTAAACTTTTAATTTCATAAACATCATCCATAAGAAGTACAAAAATCCCATTACATATTCATATTATTTTAGAATTCAGAGTACAAAAAGCTAAATGTGAAAACACTGGAGAATGCACGCAACGCCATCAAGCCAGGACCTTGCTCTTATTAGTGGAAGTACCTGAAACATTCAATAAAACTATAAGCAAAAGCTTAGTGAGTTTCCCAAATACACAAATCATATAATCACATAATGCCATGCACACACATATACATATAAGTTTGTCGTGGACTCCCTCCATGGTCTTCAATGGAATGCCATGGGCTACCCCCATGGTCTTGTATCCCCGTGCCATGGTCTCCTCCCATGGTCTTACCAAGTGCCAT